CGTGGGTGGCCTCGCTCTTTGAGACAGGGGAGGGGAGGGCAGCTGTTTCTTCCCTGAGGGGCGGCTTGGGAGCCTCCCACTTTGTCCCTGGGCACTGCGCCCAGCACGTTGGCACGGCCTGGGCTTCCCCAGTGACAAGGTTACGCCAAGGGGAGCTCTGGCTGCCTGTTGTCTGCGCTTGGGCTGCTGAGGCTCTGTTCGGCTACAGTAAGCAGGTCAGGGGGCCACTTTAGATCGGAGGGTACAATTGGAAATACCGCACACCTTCCTGGAGGCCTGGGCGGGGGGAGCCCACCAGGAGGCAGAGGTTGGGGGGTGGGGAGACCTGTTTCTGGAAAGGGAGAGTTGGGGGCTCACAGCATCAGATGGGAATGTCAGCCTCAAGGTCAGGACAAGGGTACATCTGGCATCCTGTCTGGGGCCTCCTTAGAGACAGCGTGTCTGTTTTTCCCCATCGAGACACATCCTGGAGCAGCCGCCTGAGCCGTGGGGGCTAGGTGCGGGACACTTCATGAGCTGGGGCGTGAGCCCGACCAGTGATGAACCCATAGCCAAAGGGAGCTGTTTAGCCTGAGTCCTGTCTGGGGGTCCAAGCATGCCTGGTCCCCTATCTGCTTAAAGGGACCCTGGGCTTTGCAGAGTGCCCATTGTGGGCTGGGCTCTGTCATCCTTAATCCACCTGCGGCCTTGCTACGACACTGAGCAGGGCCACCCTAACACGGGAGTTAGTGTTTAATGTCGAGCTCCCTGCTGGCCCCTGTACCCTGTCATTGGGGCACCCAGCCCGACATAGTCGCTGGTGTCCCGGGCAAAGAGAATGAGGTGTTCAGGGAGGGACACCCCCTCCCCGTTTGCTCACTGCCAGTTCTCTGTGATGCACTAGAGTTTAGCGTGTCTGCCTAAATGGATTTATGGGTAATGCAGTCTGGTTTTAAACAAACAAATCCTCCAAAAACAAGTAGCTTCCAAAAGAGTCCCGTACAGAAATTGCAAATATGCAGATAATCCCTCCCTCCTCCCCCGGAAGCAAGCCCAGAAGTGGCAGCAAGGACATGTCCTCCCTCCTGACACAGGCTCGTCCTCACCCACGGTGCACACCTGATGAGAAACGAGCCCCAAATAACCAAAATAAACACAACCGAGCCAAGCTGCTGGGAAAGACTCCCCCTGAGTGACTGCTGCCTTGAGGCGCTCGTCAACAGCAGCCGGACAGCAAAGGCATTTAAAAAAGAAGCTTCCTGAACATGGAGACAAACCCCCACAATTCTTCTTCCAGTGATGTTTAAAGTTAGGCGCTTTCAACTCAGTACTTTTCTGATATTTCCCTAAGCAATGATAAATATTTGGAAAGCTCTTTTAAAGTTTCTTGCATAATAGCACGAGACAAAAAAAAAAAAAAACACCTACCACCAGGCAAACACTTAGGGCTTTTTTTTCCTGCCGCAGTAAAAATGGCAGAAACAATGAACAGAAAATGATCTGTCGACAAACCGAAAGGCATTTCTTTGTCAGCAAATACTGTTGAAAGATGTAGAGAAAACACTACCACAGATTGGAAGGAAGTGTTAGCGCAAATTACCCAGTGTGGGAGGTTTGCTGCGCAGTTTCCACGTATCTCAGCTTAAGGTAACTGCTGGCTTCTGGTCTAATAATGAAATACACAAACCATTTGTGTGTGTGTGTGAGTGAGAGAGAGAGAGAGAGAGAGAGAAAGAGAGAGAGAAAGTCAGAAAAGGAAAGACAGAGCAAAACAGTGAATGCCTTGTTTAATAAGAACAATTGCAAACGGGGTGGGGGGAGTGTCAGGGAATCCCCGATGGAAAGGTTACCAGGGAAGGGTTTTTTAAAGGGTTCTGGATGAGGGAAAGGTAGAGAGATAGCAGCACCTCCAAAACTCATGCACTGGTCCATCCAGTCAAACCACTGCAGGAAAGAACTAGAAGCTAGAGAGCAAAGAAAAGGCTGCAGGAACCCTCACTGGTATTAACTTTATAAAGTCAGGTTTGTTCTAATAGAGGAATCTTTATGATCCTTGGCAATAAGAGTGGGTGTGACCAGGAAAACTTCCAGGCCACACAGAATGAGTGAAACTTTATGACAAAGAATCGAAAAGGGCTGTCGTGAACCCCCCTCTCTTTCCACGGAGACTGCCCTCCTTCTTAAAGGCTGAGGTGCTGGCATTTCCTGAGGACGCAAGAGCTATGGGTTTTAGGGATGCCTGGGTGGCTCAGTCGTTAAGCCTTCAGCTCAGGTCATGATTCCAGGGTTCTGGAATCGGGCCCCACATCGGACTCCCTGCTCAGTGGGAAGCCAGCTTCTCCCTCTCCCACTCCCCCTGCTTGTGTTCCCTCTCTTGCTGTCTCTCTCTATCAAATAAATAAATAAAAATCTTAAAAAAAAAAAAGCTATCAGTTTTAGGCTCCCAGGAAAACTATTGGAAAAACAGACTCACCTTTGTTGCCTCTGCCTCTCCCAGGTAAAGACATTGAAACAAATGTTTGAAAATGTTTCCACGTGGGGCTCCTGGGTGGCTCAGTGGATTAAGCCTCTATCTTCAGCTCAGGTCACGATCTCAGCGTCCTGGGATGGAGCCCCTTACGGAGCCCCGCATTGAGCCGCACATGGAGCCCCACATCGGGCTCTCTGCTCAGCAGGGAGCCTGCTTCCCCCTCTCTCTGCCTGTCTCTCTGCCTGCTTGTGATCTCTGTCAAATAAGTAAATAAAATCTTAAAAAAAAAAAAAAGAAAATGTTTCCATGGACATACCACTTGGTGGTTAACAACGTGTTTGACCCACAAAACCTGCACATTAAAACAAGCAAACAAACTTGGAAGCAGAAACTGCTTTTTAAAAATGTAGATGTGATTTCCATGCCATAAAATTCACTCATTTAAAATGTACAATTCAGTGGTTTTTAGGATATTGAAAATAGTGCAGCCATTACCACTAGCTCTAGAATAACCTGTTTTTTAAACCTGTAGAGTTTTATATTTTTTAAAAAATTTCATTTTTTATTTTATTTATTTTTATTTATTTATTTTTAAAGATTTTATTTATTTATTTGACAGACAGAGATCACAAGTAGGCAGAGAGGCAGGCAGAGAGAGAGAGAAGAGGAACCAGGCTCCCTGCTGAGCAGAGAGCCCGATGCGATGCGGGGCTTGATCCCAGGACCCTGAGATCATGACCTGAGCCGAAGGCAGAGGCTTAACCCACTGAGCCACCCAGGCGCCCCCAAAATTTCATTTTTAAAAAAGTAACCTCTACCCCCCAATGTGGGATTTGAACTTGTGACCAACAAATCAAGAGTTGCATACTCTACCCACTAAGTCAGTCAGGCACCCCTAGCCCTGTAGAGTTTTATTTATTTATTTTTAAAGTTACATTTATTTATTTGAGAGAGAGAGCAAGCATGAGCCGGGTGGAAGGGCAGAGAGAGAGAGGGAGAAGCAGACTCCCTGCTGAGCAGGGAGCCCGACTCCTGACTGGATCCCAGCACCCAGGGACTATGACCTGAGCTGAAGGCAGATACTTAAACTCAGGTGCCCCAACCTGTAGAGTTTAAAGCTCAAGAGTTTCCTTGGGCTTTGAACCCACTTATGAAACACACACATGTAGCACCCTCACATTGGTTTGTAAGACCAAGTAATTGACAACAGGGAAGACAGAAATACAGCAGCTGGGTTTTATCAAGTCCTTGTATAACTGGTGGATGGAGTTTAAAAATGAGTATGATGGCTTGGGGAGCCTAGCTAATGATGCCCTTTTTCCATCCAGCTCCGATATTTTTGTGACAGCTACTAAGGTCCAGAACTGAAATAAACTGCCCTGAGGGCCATGCTTTCAAATCGATGTTTTACAGTGCAAAATCAAGATTTTAGTAAATAAGAATTGTAACAACTCAGTATGATGACAGATGGTAACTAGACTTACTGTGGTGGCCATTTCTTACTGTACATATATATCGAATCACCACGTTGGATGCCCGAAACTAATACAATATTGTATGTCAATTATTCTTCAATTTTTAAAAAGATCTTAGTAAATAAGAAAGCATACTCAATCACATTGATATTTCTAGCGAGAGCAAAAATTTTTTTTGCACCTTTGCAAATGTGCAAATAAATTTGTAATTTTGTAAAATTTATTTAAAAATACGGGTGATTTCACTTTCATAAATTCTTTTCAATGTTCCAATAGGGTGGGTTAGATACTCTACAAGTACACCTATATTGGAGTGGGTGCTCCCAAATATTTTTGGATGGAGGTCAGAAGTGTTTGGAGTCTGCACCTCTCCTCTGGTTTTCCAGCTCCCACTTCTACCCCCTCCCCGCAAACAAAAAACAAAACAAAACAAAACTCTTATCCCTTAAAATAATCAGTGATATTTTCCAAGAGTCAGGTCACATTATGCCCCTGCTCAAAGACTTCCAGTTGCATACCACACTTTGGATAAAGTTCAAAATTCTCACCCACCTGCTCCTATCCTTCCTTATGTCTCAGGTTTTACCCCCTCCCCTACCCCACCCTAACTCTCTGATCCAGCTATAGGTCTGGACTAGCACTTGCCGATTGCTGCCTCAGGGCCTTTGCACGGCTGTTCCTCCTGCATGACTCAAGCCCTCACTTCCTTGTCCTCACTTCACTGCCTGCACCTCAGGCAGCCCCTCCCTGACCTTGGCAATAATTCCTGATCTGAATTATCCACCCCATCCTCTCAGTCACAGACATCCTTCTGTGCTCCCACATGCTAATGATTTTTCTTTCTAGAATGTATCACTACTGGCATTACACTGCACAATGGTTTATTTGATTATTGTTTTGTCTCTTTCAGTAGAATAGAGGCACGGGGAGGAGAGGGAATCTCCTCTCCTCACAGACCTGTGCCCAGCACCTAGATGGTCTCCCAGAGGGTACAAGGGTTGCTCCAGGTCTGCCTGCTCTGCCTGCTCCTTGGGTCTCCCAGCCTGGAATGGGCACTGGGGCATGAACATCAGCAGCTAAGTGACTCGGGACAAGTCTTTCCATTCTGTGTCAGCGTCTCCTCTCTGTGTAATAGTACTGGGCCCCAGGAGGTGCACATGGTGGATGATACCCCAACCCGGCCCCAGCAGTCTCCTCCGCCACCTTGCAGGGTCCCTTGCCGGTTGAGAGGAAGCCACAGTTTTCCGGGCACCCGGACATGCCCGAGTCCTCGGCCCCAATGTGCTGTGAAGACTGAGGCCAAGAAACTTGTGTGCTGCGGGGTCTGGTCGAGTCGTGGCCCTGTGGGGGACACCTCTGGCATGGTGCCCGCCTGGTCCTCGGGCAGGGCAACCTGCCGGGCAGAGTCTGGTGGTCGGAGCACCCCCGTCCTTACCCTGGCGTTGACGTTGGGGGATCGAGAACAGCCCAAGGGGGGCCCATGGGTGCCCCGGAAATCCGCCATTGCAGCCCGCTGGGGGCCGGGCAGCCCGCACCCGGGTGAAAGTCTGGGGGCGGGGCCCGCGCTGGGAGGGAAGGGCCTCCGGGGGTTGGGCCTAGGTCTGGGGGAGGGGCCGGGGTCTGGGGAAAGGGGGCAGAGGGGGCGGGGCCGGGGGCTCCGGGATCAGGGCGTGGCACCGGCCAGCAGCCCCAGCAGCAGCGCCCCTGCCAGCAGCGGCAGCGACAGAGGCGCACCGGCCGGGCCGGGGAGCGCGGCGTCGGTGGGGGAGGCCGAGGGCGGCAGGCCGCAGTCGGTGTAGGGCTCGAGGCAGGCGGCGAAGGCCATGACGTGCGCCACGAAGCTCTGCTCCTGCACGCCGTGCACCAGGTGCGCCTGCGGGCCGCGCGCGAACACCGCCACGTCCTCGCCGCCGTGAGTCTCGGAGTCAAGGGGCACCACGGCCTGCTGCTTGTAAGTGGGGTCCCCTGGCCGGAGAGTGGGGCTTCAGGGCCGGCGGGGCGGGCGGCCTCCCCCTCCCGCGAGCTACCCACCATGCTGGCCCCTTGCCACCCCGTCCCCCAGGACCGCCCCGCCTCCCCGCGGCGCTCACCGCTCTGGCTGTGGTTGACGTTGGGCCGGGAGCTCTCCGTGAGCGCGTATAGGCCGCCGGGGCCGTTGCCGTAAAGGATGGAGGTGTAGGTCTTGAGGTCTAGGGCTATGCTGGGGGCCAGCCCTGCGGGGGGGAAGGGACCTGCTGAGCACCCCCACCGCAGTGAGGGCCCCCTGCGTGCCCAGCCCAGTCCTCACAAGGCCCCATTTGACAGGCGAGGAAACTGCGACTCAGAGCCATTTCTGCCATATAATCTGGGAAACAGCTCTGGCTACCGCAAACGGAGCGCCCTGCCTACCGAAAATGGAGCTCCCTCGCAGTGTGTAGCCACCAAAAGAGAAGACGTGAGAGTGGTCAGCGGTGACAAGGGTCAGGGTGTCCTGCTCGCTTGTGATCTGGCTGGCCTTGTCGATGGCGGAATCAAACATGACCGCCTCGGTCAGTGCCAGAGAAGCCGTGCCGTCATGATGACCGTGGTCGATGCGGCCTCCTGCAAGCAGGGCACATGGAAGGCAGACAGTCCCCAGCCGCCCTGACCAGTCCCACTCCTCTGATCCGCAAGGGGCTGCCGCTCACCCTCCACGAAGAGGTAGAAGCCACGGGGGTTCCTGCTTAGCAGGCGCACTGCCACCTCTGTCATCTCCATCAGGGACGGGTCCTGGGTGGTGTTTCGGTAGATCTCATACTTTGTGTCTCCCGGCTCAAAGAGGCCTGTGGGAAAGGGGGACAGTGGACAGGGGAGTGGGGAGAGTCCATGGCCTGAACATCTGCGTATCTTTGGCTTTCTGGGGACCAGGGAGGCAAGGGTGGGGACAGTGGGGGTATCTGGGGTCATTACCCATGAGATGTGTTACAGAGGGGTCCTGGGATGCCTCCATGAGCGCCGAGCGATTCCACACATACCGGGCACCCTGGGAGGGGCAGAACCGAGACTCAGTCCATAGCCCTCTGATCCTTGTCCCTGCTGTACCCCTTGCACCTCCAGGCCCCCATCACCTTGTACTTGGCCAGCCACTCCTGCACCAAGTTCCGCCCATCCGACCTGACTCCATTCTGTCTGGTGTCACTTGGATACTCAGGGTCTGGAGTCCCCTTGGGGAACATGTACTTTCGGCCTCCGCCCAGGATCACCTGTGGCCAAAGGATTGGGCAGGTGGGATTGGGCCTTGGCTGGCTCTTTGCTCCCTTCTCTGACAGCCCCTAGCGCCCTGACCAGGTCTGTGGGTATGGCCTGGGCCCAGCTGTACTTTCTCCACCACCACCCCCCCTCCCTAAGCCCCTGGAGACCCTGCCAGGCCCCAGAGCTCAGGCTGTCAGTGTCCGGGACTGTGGTCCCTATGGGCACCTCGCCTCCCACCCTTGCCCTTCATGTCCCACATCAATGTCCACGTTGGAGATGAGCTGCTGGGCGATGTCCTGGCATCCATCCTCCCGTGCCTTGTTGGGCATGTCGGTGTCTGAGTACCAGTTGCGGTTCACTACGTGGGCGTACGTGCCAGCTGGGGAGGCATGCTGCACTCTCGTGGTGGTCACCACCCCGACTGACTTCCCTGTGGGGGGCAGAGGTCAGCATGAATCCCTGAGGTCTCTGATCCTGCCTCTGCCCATGAAGCTGGCCCTAAGCCCACCTGCTTTCTTGGCCCGCTTCATCACGGAAGTGACCTCATTGCCCCTCGTTGTGTTGCACTGGTTGAAGCGGGCGGCTGCACTCACACCAATGGTCTGGAAGTTGGCCTTGACCCCGCACAGGTAGGCTGTGGCTGTGCCTGCGCTGTCTGGCACCTGTCTGTCCACGTTGTACGTCTGGGGACAGAGACGCCTTCAGGTTCTGATACCGACAGACGCCCAAGATCCTACCCAGGCCCCAGGGCCCACCCTCGCTTCCCTAGTGCCCCTAAATTCAGTCTCCAGATCTCCTGGGGCCTCCCCTCCTGCCACCTTCCCCACCCCCGCCCCTCTAGTGGCGGGCACCCTCAGGCCACCCAGCCCTTACCTTGGACAGAGCCAGGTACGGAAAGTGGTCCATGGCCAGGGGTGTCTCAGGTCCCAGTTTGCCATTTATTTGCCCCTTTAGGATCCTAGTGGCTGTCACTGTGGGCACCCCCATCCCTAAAGGAGCACACCTTGTCAGGGTTGGTCTGTGGCCACTGGCAGCTTGGGCTACAGGGACCACAGGCACGGCCAGCCTTGTGCACTCACCATCCCCCAAGAAGAGAATGAGGTTCTTAGCAGCTGTCTGGATGGGCTGCAGCTTCTTCGCGGTGTCCAGGGCCTGTGCTGCCTGGCGGTTCCAGAAGGCTGGGTCCTCCTCCTCCACTGGCCAAGGGGAGAGGGGAGGCCAGGTCAGTCCTGGGGGAGGACTCTATGTATGGGGGGCAGCTGGGAGGTGCTTCCTTACCTGGGATGATGCCGAGGGCCAGCGGTGGCCTCAGGCCCAGCAGCAGCAGCAGTAGCACCCAGGCCCCCTGCATGCCTGTGGGGTGGCGGGAGGGCGGCAAAGCTAGGACTCTGGGCAGGCTGGAACCCCAGGAGGGCCAGAACTTGGGTACCAGCTGCAGTACCAGCCACCTGGGCTTTAGTCTGGGCAGGACTTTGTCCCTGGCTGTAAAAGGCTCCATGTCCCTCCCATTGCCCCCGGTGGCCACCCTGACCCTGCCCCGCAGGTGATGTCATGTTCGGCTGGCAGGAGGGAAGTGGCAGGGTGTGACCAAGCAAGCCCAGGGGCAGGGGGCCTCGAGAAGGCAGATCTGTCCAGCACAGCAGAATCCTAGCTGTCACCCCAAGGTGGGGGGGGCATTTGGGGCACATCCCCTTTTGGGGGAGGAGCGTTTGCCTTGTCCATCCCAACCCTTTGCTCACATAGTCTTGTGGGAGAACCGTCACTCCTACCTTTGCCCCATGTGTTCAGTCTTCCGAAAGTCCGCTTTGGGCAGGCTCCATGTGGGCGCTGGGGGAGCCTGAGCCAGGGGCCTGGGTCTGGCTTCCCAATGCTGCGAGGCCCCGAGACATGGGAAAGGAGGCATATGGGATGGCCGGGCTTCTGACCAGCCTTGGCGGGGGCAGGTGGGGAAGGTGTTGGGCTCAGAGCACACCCGGAGTCTGGACCTAGACTTCTTGGGCTGCGGAAAAGACTGGGACTTTTGTGGTGACAGAGCAGATCCCTGCCTGTGTGTCTAGTTACTGGAGCCAGGCCGGCCTCGTAGGGCACATGTGCGTGTACGCACATGCATGTGTGTGGGGGGGTGGGGCCCAGCGCACTGAGGTTGATCTCTGCTCCCTCGGACAGGCAGCTGGAACCCAGGGGTGAGTCTTTTCTCTCCAGGGCCCACGCATACCCGCAGGTGTAGCTTCTGTTAGGGAGTTAAGAGGTTTCAGTAGCTAGGCTGGTTCAAAAGCCTTCCTCCAGTCCCTCCATCGCATTTTCTGGGCGTCTATCCAAAAAAATTCAAAGCAAGGTCTGGAAGAGATATTTGCACCCTCATGTTCATAGTAGCGCTGTTCACAGGATCCATAAGGGGCAGGAACCCAAGTGTCCCTCACCAGGTGAATGTATGACTAAGATGTGATATAATGGAACCAAGATCCATGTGATGGAATGTTCTGTAGCCCTAAAAAGGGAGGGAATCCTGTCTCGTGCTGCACCATGGATGAACCCTGAGGACATGATGCTAAGGGAAATAAGCCAGTCACAGAAGAACAAAGGCTGGGGGACTCTCCTTAAACTAGGTATCTGAAGCTGTCCAATGCCCAGGACTAGCTTCCAGGGGCCAGGAAGAGGGGGGTGTTCGGTGGGGACAGAGTTTCAGTTTTGAAGCTGGAAATGTTCCGGAGAGCTGCTGTACAACAGCGTGAATATGCTTCGCTGTTCCAAACCAGACACAAAATGATTATGACGGTAACTTTTCTGTTGTGCTTAAAAGATTCAGAGAAGAAAAACCTTCCTCTCCACTCTGCCCACCCCAGCGGACCATGTGGCTCTGGTTTGTGCTCTGGCCTCCCGACCACCTGAGCCACGTGTTTGGTCCCCAAAACCAGGTGACTGCCCTGGCCCCCCAGCGTCTCCCTGCCCAGCCCCGCTCTGCTCAGGCAGACCTGCCCTTCCACCAGCTCGCCAACCACACTGACCCGGCTGTCCTCCAAATCTGGGGAGAGATAGATATCCTTCCCGGCCTCTGACTTGTCCCCATAGACCCTTCTGTCCCCTGTATTATCTTGCTGTGTTAGGGAAATTCTTGGCTAAAGGTCAGGGGAGACTAACTTCTGGGCAGGTCCTTAATTAATTAATTAGTTCTTTCTACCAGGCAGTAGGTGAAAGGTTTGTTGCTCCAAGATAAGTCTTCCTTCCAATAAGTTCCCCATACCCTTTCTCAACAGGATTTTTTTTTTAGAGAGGGAGGGAGATAGAGCAAGAGAGCTTCTTGTGCAAGTGGAGGGGGAGAGGCAGAGGGAGAGAGAGAATCTTAAGCGGGCTCCACCCCCAGTGCCAAGCCCCACTGGTTTGTGGGGGCAGTGCTCTATCTCACAACTCTGAGATCATGACCTGAGCCGAAACTTAGAGACGCTTAACTGACTGAGCCACCCCGGCACCCTCTCCCATACCCTTTTTTTTTTTTTTTAAGATTTTATTTATTTATTTGACAGACAGAGATCACAAGTAGGCAGAGAGGCAGGCAGAGAGAGAGGGAGAAGCAGGCTCCCTGCTGAGCAGAAAGCCCGATGTGAGGCTTGATCCCAGGACCCTGGGATCATGACCTGAGCCGAAGGCAGAGGCCTTAACCCACTGAGCCACCCAGGCGCCCCCATACCCTTTTTTAACTGGAATTTTTGACATAAGTTAGAGACTCACACACAGTTTAAGAAATAATACAGAGATCTCTCCCTGTAGGCTGCCCAATTTCCCCCAATGGTACAAGCCATAGATTTTCCGCGATTTGGATATGCTCCCGTTCACATGCACTCATTCCCCTGGGTATGTAGGTTCTACACTCTCTCGTCACGTGCGTGGGTTCACAAACACTGCTGCTGGTGAGATGCTGAACAGCTCCAACCCCACAGACTGGAACAAACCGCTTTTTAACCTCCCCCCCTCCGTGCCACACCCCTGCTCCGTCTCTAGGCCCTTTCCTGCATTTCTAAAATGTTGTCATTTCAAGTAAGTTACATAAATGGAATCCTGAAGTCTTTGGGGGTTGAGTTGTTTTTTGTTTTTGTTTTTTCAACTCAGCAAAATTTCCTGGAAATTCATCCCAGCATATTCATTCAGGCTTTTTTGGGGGGACATGTGGTTTCATTTCTCCGGAGTACACGCCAGGAGTGCGGCTGCTGGCGCTCCTCACGGTGACACGAAGAAAACACGAAGTGGTTTCTTGTGAATTTTGTTGTGTGCCTGCGTGGGACTGGAGGCCAACCCCCACCCCCCCGCCAACCACCCCCCTCCCCGCCCCGGACCACTGGCAGTCAACGAAGTCTCTTTGTTCACATTCGCAGCCTGCAGCCCTGACACAGCTGCGTGGGGCCACCGGGGTGGGGGGGGCTCTGCCCCGAGCCAGTCAGGTGCCGGTGGGCGTGAGTCACCTGTGATGACATCGGTTGTAGTCCTTCCTCTGGGGCCCAGGATTACAAGTCAGCAGGCAGCAAGCGTGTCCTGGTGTGGAGTGAGAGATAATGCCTCTGGGGTAACTGTCATCCCACGTCAGGGGACGCCTGGCTCTGTGATGCCCGTGGTCTGCATGGCCTGGTCTCACTGCTCCCTGGGAAGGAAGGGGTTGTCCTGTGGGGCCCCATCTGGAGCCCCAGCACCCTCCACTGCTGTCCTCGTTTACCACTAGAGGCTGTCCGGGCGGTGTCCCAGCCCCCCGCACGGGGCACATGTCAACCCGGCGAGGGGCAGGGTGATGGGGAGCCCCGCTTCGTAGCAGCTGCTGCCAACCCACGGAGGGATGGCTGCTTGCCGCCTCCTGCCCTCCTGATCTCATGGTGACGACACCCTCCCTCCCCTTTGGGAAATGTAGTGACAGCCCTGATCATTCCCAGGAGCTGGGAACGACTGTCAATCTCCCAAAGGCCACATAGTGGGGAACACTTCGGGGAAACGGAGGCATCTCTTTCTAATGGGCCAGTTTCTCTCATGTGAGCCTCCCACCAGCCCTGAAGAAATAGTAGGAGTGTCCCTACTCCGGCTGGGATGCAGGACGCAAACATGGTTGGACTTTGCCCTCTCTCTCTGCACTGGCGGACCTGCTGGGATGTGGGGGGGGTACCACGCCTCCTGAAGGCCCGTGGGGGTCTGGCAGGCAGGTGGGCAGGCCCAGGGGAGCAGTGGGGGCAGAGCTGTTATCTCAGCCCCACTCAGCCTCCTGGCAGTGCTTGACCTTCCCTGTATTTTTCTTTCTCTTTTTTTTTTTTTAAATTTTATTTATTTATTTGACAGACAGAGATCACAAGCAGGCAAAGAGGCAGGCAGAGAGAGAGGAGGAAGCAGGCTCCCTGCTGAGCAGAGAGCCAATGTGGTGAGGTTCGATCCCATGACCCCGGGATCATGACCTGAGCCGAAGGCAGAGGCTTTAAACTAGTGAGCCACCCAGGCAACCCCCTTTTTTTTTTTAAGATTTATTTGGGAGAGAGAGGGAGCAGGCATATGCAGGGGGGAAGGGGAGGGAGAGAGAAACACAAGCACACTCTCCTCTGAGTACAGAGGCGCATCTTGGGGCTCGATCTTGCGACCCTGAGATCAGATTTGAGCTGAAGCCAAGAGTCAGTCGCTCAATGAGCTACACCCTCCAGGTGCCCCCCTCCTTGCACTTCTCATCCCATATCTCCCTTCTCCTGCCAGACTTGCCTGTGCAGTTCTGGGGCCTGGAGTGGAGGCCTGCCCATCTGTCTCTCCTTGTGGCCCAAGCGGGGGGCCATCAAGAAAAGTCCTGTGGCAGGGGCCGCCTGGGTGGCTCAGTGGGTTAAGCCTCTGCCTTCTGCTCAGGTCATGATCTTAATGTCCTGGAATCGAGCCCTGCATTGGGCTCTCTGCTCAGCAGGGAGTCTGCTTCCTCCCCACCCCCACCTACTTCTCTGCTTACTTGTGATTTCTCTCTCTGTCAAATAAATAAATAAAATCTTAAAAAAAAAAAAAGTCCCAGGGACTGTGTACTCCTCACAGAAGTTAGCTGCATTGTAGCCTGGGGGATAAGATGGACCACGAAGGAGCACTCAGCGGAGAGCAACAGGCATGGCCAGGGTCACGGGCTCAATGAGAGAGATCTTAGAGGTCACGGAAAAGCACTGGCAGGGGAGGGAGGAGCCCCTTGCCTCTCTTTGTACCTATGGTCCATATGTGTCCGTGGTCCCTCTTGCAGGCCTAGAGAGACTTAGGCTCTGCCCTTGCCAGGAGCAGATAGGCACTGATTGTGGAGAACAGCCCCCGGAAGGGGGGGCCTTTGGAGGGAACCAGAGACAGCACAGACCTTGGGGGCATCCACAGGGCCATGGAGGGGAAAAGTTTGCCGAGACAGGTTCTGGGGCTCAGAACGTAGTGCATCTAAGGCCTGAGTTCAAGTGCACAGTGGGATACACCTGGTAACTCCAGGGGTTACACTGTGCCAAGTCACTTGGGAATTTCCTCATG